GATGGCTGGTTAGTATTCACTGAATGCTGTCGTGTGTCAGGCACCGTTCAGCAGGTGAGTAAATCCCATCCCCGAGGGCACACAGTGTAAAGGAGCAGAATGCAGGCCTGCACCCTCTGTGGACTGGCGTGACGTTTCTTCTAGTCAAAATGAAAGAGGAAGAAAGAGAAGGCGTCAGCTGACACTGTTTTTCGAGGATCAGCCCTCTTTCGGGGTTTAAAATCAGTGTGTATGTAAGCTGAACATGTTTATTTATGTGATGATGATTTATTTATGTTAGCAATTCTCTGGACTTAAAAAAAAACTGTGCAAAGAAATCATCACATAAGGAGATAGATGGGATTGGGGAGAGAGGGGAGTCATGAGTGAGGGAAAGGGACGAGAAGGGAGTCATGGGTGAGGGAAAGGGACATCTGTAATACTTTAAGCACTAAAGATTAATTTAAAAAAAGAAAAAGAAAAGAAAGAAATCAGCCCTAACCGGTTTGGCTCAGTGGATAGAGCGTCGGCCTGCAGACTGAAGGGTCCTGGTTCAATTCCGGTCAAGGGCATGTGCCTTGGTTGCGGGCACATCCCCAGTGGGGGGTGTGCAGGAGGCAGCTGATCGATATTTCTCTCTCATCGATGTTTCTAACTCTCTATCCCTCTCCCTTCCTCTCTGTAAAAAACTCAATAAAATATATTTAAAAAAAGAAATCGTCAGCATCTCCTATCTTCCAGCCCCGTACTGTAGTGAGTGTGATGGGAAGAAATGGGTGGGGCAGTGATATGTGTCTCCTCTCCAGGAGCTCCTGAAAACAAAACTTAGAATGCATGTAGGTAACTACAATGGTTCTGAATAGAGTACATGCTTAAATGGTTTTTCACTAACTGTCGGTGGTTATGCTAACCTGTACACACACTTCTTGTTCTGTTTGATTGTTTCTAAGCTGATTTTCTATATCAATTCTACCCCTTTATTTGCTGCAGATTGCCTTGCTTTTGGTATTGAGAGCAGGACCATCTAACTTAGCTCCTTCTGCCCTTTTTCTTTCAGAAATCCCTTAGCTCTAGCCCTCATCCTTTCTTCCTACTGATATAAGATGATCTTTTGAAGATAAATCTTCTAAGTCAAACGGATCCCATTCTCTCCTGTCTCTGGAACTTTTCAGACTTTGCTCTCCTATATACCCTCCCCCCTGCCCAGTTCCATCTCTTCTGTTAGAGTCATCTTCAGTTCTTCTCTTCACGCCCTGGCTTCTGGCATCGCACTCCCTTTGTGTGGGTCCCCTTCTTTACGTCCTATGATGCCTGCCCTGGTAGATGGAAGATGGGCAGGTGACTCTCCCCTTAAATCTGTGGTGAATTTTGAAAGAAGGTAGATAAAAGGATGTAGATAAAATTAGCAAGTTCCAAACACCATGTCTTTGTGGGGTGGGGAAGGGAGACCTGGGAAGCATGTGGGAAAACCTAAGAGTGGATGTTACTAGAGGGGGACTCACTACTGCAGCAACAGAGCGCCGAGGATTGAGGTAAAAATGAAGAGTCCCGCTCCAGTAAAGGGTTACAGAAGATGTTAGAATTTGGGTAGTTATGAGAAACTGGTGCCTTTTTAGTACTGGTGCATTCTTTTTAGTATTGGAAAGAATGAGAAGGAAGGGGGCTTTGAGCTAGAAGTTTGAGAAAATTACAGCAATACATACAATAGGTGCAGCGTCAGGCTGAGACATGAGAGGAGTAGAAAGGATTAACCTGAGAAATGTATAAGGAGAAAGAAGATTTGGTTACAGCCTGATGTAAGGAGAGAAGACTGAGTGAGATCCAGGTGACTCTTAGATTTCGTACTTGGCGGAAAGGGAAGCTGGTGGCACTTTTCAGGGTGATCCAGAAGCCAGGCCTTTTGGTAGAAAGCAAATCAGTCTTTATTTGTATAAAATGCCCTCGAACGCCCACCGAAACAAATCCTACTCAGTTCTGTGGTCAGTAAGAGGTGCCTTCTTTTAAGAGACGGAACTGGGTACCTAATAAAAGCTTGGGTGAAAAAAATACATACATGTGTGTGTGTGTGTGTGTGTGTATGTGTGTGTGATAATTATAGAAGGACAAACTGACATTTTATCAGGTAGCCTTGGAAAAGCATAGAGGTAGGGCAACATATAACTGGTGTGCTTTTATATTTTCCTCCCCAGAATTGAAATGGAATCATTAGGTTATGTGTGTTTTTTAAGATACGCAAGGGAGAAATCACTTCTTTCTAACAGTGTCCTTACAAAGTTCTCTGTGTGCTACCTGAATATTAACTATTTTAGTGCTACCCCTGATAATTGATTAGGTGATAAGAACAGAGATAATGCCACAGGTAAAAATCCTGTTCGATTCTGTAGAAATGTAGATGTCTGAAAATTTTAAGTTATTTGAATTTTATTTTCACTAACATTTTTGGTTGATAGAGTTGAGAAATGTTTAGTAAAGGATCATACATATTAAACATTCATTCTGCAGTATTTATTTACATGTCCAGTTTATGTCACGCCCAGTTTTAGGCCCTGGGACTACAGGGATGCATCAGCCATCGTGGAGCTCATATTTTAGCAGAGAAGACAGGAATGAACAGGTCTGTAATGTGAAGAAGTAACAGTGCTTCAAGAGAAGACAAGACAGAGTGAGGGGGAGAAGGCGAATGGGATGAGGTTAGTCAGGGAAGGCCATTCTGAAGGAAGAGGAGGATTTTGTAAAAACTTACTCCAGGCAGAGGGAATAGTGAAGGCACAGACCACAAATCAGGACCAGGCTCACTGAGAACCTGTTTGGTGTGTTGGAGGAAAAGCAAGAAAGCTTGTCCGACCAGAGCAGAGAGAACAAAATGGAGAATGAAGGTGGAGGAGAATCTGCGGTGGAGTCGTGACGTGATCTGGTTTGCATTTCACAGATTTCATTCCTGCCACCAAGTGGAACGCTGACTATAGGAAAGGCAAGGTCTGGAGCATTTAGGAAGTCTTTGCAATAATCACCTGTGGTGTCCAGTGCGCTCGTCATAATCCATTGTGGGGCAAGAAGAACCTGTTAGAACTAGAGATTTATTTATTTAAAAATTAGACGTTCCTAATATTTAATATACATATTGGTACTGGCACCCACGTTTCATCTGTATGTTAATTATATGCCTCCATTTTTAGCTTGAGCGGCTGAGTCAGTGCTGGTGTCATTTACTGAGATGAGGAAACGGGACGGGGCGGGCTCTGGTGGGAAGGTGGGGGAGCAGTGACTCTGTTTGGGACATTTTGAGTTTGCGATGTCTAATAGAAAGCTAATGAGAGAGATGCCAGTAGGTAGTTTCCATATGAGTCTGGAGCCAAGGTTAGAAGCCAAGATGAAAGATCTAAATTGGAAATCATTAGCATAGAGGGAGTATACAACTTTGAAGCAAACTGTGTGAGTGCACATTTTTAGCTCTGCTGCTTACCGACTGTAATTGTGGACAAGTTAACATCTCTCTGCTGTATGTGCCTCATCTGGGGATAATATCTACCACATAGGGTGTTGTACTCATTGGGTTACTACAAGCAAAGTGTCTGGCACTCAGTCCTCACTAGATGTTAACTATTATTATCACTTTGACTGGTGTTTAAAAGCATCAGGTTAGATGAGATGGCCTAGAGAATGAATGCAGATAGAGCAAAGGGCTGAGGAAATAATAACCTTTAGAATTCAGACAGGAGGCTATGGGCTCCAGAGAAGATTTCAAGGGGAGAAGTTATCACTGTGGACAAGTTTGTGTAAGAGGTTGAAGAAGATGAGGAACAAGAATTAGCCATTGGGTTTGCTAGCATGGAAGTTGTGAGACCTGGGGAAGTGGTTGCAGTAGAGGAGTGGGCATGAACGCCTGCCTGGAGTAGGTCAAGTAGAGAATGGGAGGCAGAATTGGAGAACATGAGTATAGACAACTCAGTGTTTGGGTATAAAGAGGAAGAAAACATGGAGAGGTAGCAGAGGAAGATGTGTGGAGTCGGAAGGTAGGAGGGGGGTATGTGGTAATTTTGAGATGGGAGATGATGGAGTAACTTTGTATACTGAAGAGAGTGGCCCAGTAGGAAGAGAAACCTCTGTGTTTGAGGGACATGGGCTAATTGTAGCAGCCAAGACCTTGAGGTACAGGGAGGTGGAGAAGTGCACAGTTGCGGAGATTAGTCTCAGACATTGGCAGAGACACTTCATCCATTGATGAAGGTAGAGAATATTCATGGAGGTACACATACATTGGTGGATTTGGTTATGGGAATATGTGTACCTGTATGTTTTAGTTATTTAATTTTTTCCAGTTAAAAGAGAGGCAGGATCATCAGCTGAGAGTCAGAAGTGGGAAGGGGTTTGTAAGGTTTGAGAGGGGTGATGTTAAACAGACATCTTGGAAGGTGGGAAATGAATTAGCCAGGCAGGGAAATGCAGGTGGAATGAATCTCAAGGAGGTTACGTCCCCCTCTCCCTCTTGACACTTGTGGTCACTAAAATGGTTTTTACTGGATGAGGAGGGAACTGGGGGGGTGGCGTATAGAGTGAAAAAGTGCTGGGGACAGTGCCTCCTCTGCTTCTATTTTGAACTCTAGTTCCATGGCCGAGAGGATGGCTCTTGGAACATTCCTCAGGTCCCTGGGGTTGGCAGAGGAATTAATCAGCACCATTAGGCCAACAATGAATCATTTTTGCCTGTGTTTAGTGCGTGCATCCTGTTTCATCGAGAGAGAGAGTTCCTAGAGGTGCTGGCTTGTCTCCTGGAGAATGCCTGCTTTTCACGGTGGTATGCAGGAGGCCCGGGACACTGTCCACGAGTTTTACTTGGTGGCTGAGTTATGTAAAGTATGAAAAACTGATGGGGAAGCTCACTGGTTTTTCCTGCGAGAGAGCCTCACCAGAGTCTTCCTGGAACCTGTGCTTTCCATTAATCTGGAATTGCTACTCTTGTTGATTTCATGCTTTTGTGTTTGGTTCCAGATGAATTCAACATTTGCTTTTCCTTCTTGCAGGCGCTGGCGAATCTGGTAAAAGCACCATTGTGAAACAGATGAAGTAAGTTGAGACACAGCCTTCTGTAAGACTGCACTTCCTCATCGTGCGTGAGAGTTCACAGGGTCTTCTCATATTGGGTCCATCGTAATGATTTGTGGTTTTCTTCTTTTCCAAGAATCATTCATGAGGACGGCTACTCGGAGGAAGAATGTAAACAGTATAAAGTAGTTGTCTATAGCAACACGATACAGTCCATTATTGCCATCATCCGAGCCATGGGACGGCTAAAAATTGACTTTGGGGAAGCAGCCAGAGCCGTAAGTGCCTCTCATTTCCTCTCCACTTGCTCTCTTTCAGTAGATGCAGTTAAGCAAAATTTGCTTCGCGTTTTAGGGAAATGAATTTAAGCAACAAGGTCAGATGTAGCAAAGGACTGTGTGCTCATTTGAGACGTGTCAGCAATCTGTTTGGGAAGTATTCGCTTGCCAGGCCTTTAGGAAGTGGGATACAGTAGAGGTTCTGGGATAACTCCCATCCACTTCCTTTACAGCTCTGTTTATGACCTTACAGTAGCAAAGGATAGCAAGTTGATCTGATGTAAAGGAGCCAGGACGTGTAGCTCGGCGTTCTTTGAGGTGTAGAGACTTAAGGCAGATAGCGCTCTTCCGAATACACTGGGTAAGGACTGAGCACCACGTCCACATTTTCGAGGCAGTTTTCAGTGTTCAAGAACACTGTGGCCCTGTACTCCACTGAACTATAGAATCCAAGTTTCTTTTTCATGTGTAAGAATTGATATTTATAGCTCCTCTATTATCTTTCTAGTTAGTATGGCTGGTAAGAAAGTGAACCGGGAAGAAGAGAGCTGGGTGTGGGGCAGGTTGTTTTCATGGCTGCTTAGGGTGAAGGTATGAAGTTTATTGCAGAGGGGCCTCTGTACGGACCTTTAGTAAAAAGGTCTATTGTGAGGAAGCAAGATTGGTCCGTTGTTTCTCCAACGAGGCTTCCAGACTTCCCAAATGCCTCCTGCTCCTGTCTGACCTGAAGGGGAAAGAAGAGAACACTTTCCTTAAACTGGTTTTACTTCCTCGGACGTGTGCAGACTTTACCTCTTATGTGCTCATCTTCATTTCTATTTTTATTGGCGGCTTCCTTGAACAGAATGCAAATGAGTTACATGTGCCTGTCTCACAGGCCAGTTTTTTTCCTGCCAAAATGTATGAGTAACCAGGATGGAGATGAGTAGGCCAGTCAGAAGAGAACTTTGCAGGGGATGGTGGTCTGTGGAGAAGGGGTGGGTAGGGGTAGGGGTGTGAAACCATTCCTCAGCTCAGCTCTGCACTTCAACGCCTCTTTAGAAATAATACAACATAATGCGTGTGTGTGTGTGTGTGTGTGTGTGTGTGTGTGTGTGTGTGTAAAAGAGACTCTTGTCACGTCTTTAAGAACTGGAGAACCCTCTGTCTCTCTGCAGGATGATGCCCGGCAGTTATTTGTCTTAGCTGGCAGTGCTGAGGAAGGAGTCATGACCCCAGAGCTGGCAGGAGTGATTAGACGGCTATGGCGAGATGGTGGCGTGCAGGCTTGCTTCTGCAGATCCAGGGAGTACCAGCTCAACGATTCTGCCTCATAGTAAGTCATTTCCCTCCGTCACAGAAGATAGCCCCGCTCATTGCCATCCTTAAGGAAACGGTGACGGAGCAGACACTCTCGAAGTCTGTGGAGTCCTCCGAGAGATTGTTTCCATTTAGCTGGAGCCCTCGGCCATTTTGTATGACTTGGAGAAAACTGTTTCCTCTTGCAATGCCAGTGGGAGACTTGGCACCACAAAGGAGCTCTGTGGTAGCTGGTAATCAGCAGGTGAAAGTGGTGAGACATCGGCAGCTGGCCCCTGGTTCTCCCAGCTGGGAATCCCTCTGCGCACCAGGGCTCTGCATCCTTTGCCAGCGAGCGAGGGAGTTCAGGGTTGTGATTCCCTTTCTGTGCCTCCGCCTCTGTGGCAGGGTTGCTCTATGGATTTCCTGGGGACGAGTCAGCACTGATAAGTCTTGGCCAGATAATGCTATGGCAGACTTTATATAGAAGGATATGTTGAGTCTTGGAACGAAATTGAAGCATCTGTTTGTCAAGGAAATTCTCTTGGTTTATGTGCTTTTAGGAAATTTGTAATGAATACTTCTTCTAAGCTAAAATGTACTATCCTGTTTTGCTTCTTTTCCATTTTTACTTATAATACCTATATTCAGAGTGTTGTTTTTTAACGTGCATTTTGGGGGCTTGGTGAGTTCTTGTTACTTGTATTCATTTCTTTACTAAATGAAGACACTTTTAAACATTAAGGTATTTTCTCCAGTATTAATTTTCTTACTTTCCACATTCTCATTCCAACTTAAGTTGTTATAGAAAAAATTAAATGATATTTGAAAAACTTACTCTTTAAGTGAAAATTTGATCTGTGAACTATTTCAAGATTCTTGCCCAACTTTTTAAAATATTTTTCAATTGCAGCTATTGGTAGTTTAAATAATTCTCCCTGCAGTCATCAAAGCTAGATTGTAGTTGTTTCTTCCATCATACATTCAGTAATCTCTAAGTCCTCCAGCTCGCCCTGATGACAGTGCCCGCGCCCCACTTGGTTTGACACCCCCACTCACCTGCTCCACCATCCCACCATGGCTGACACCCACCATGTTCTTCATATCAGGCCATAAATCTTTTTCTTTTTTTTAACATTTTTTAAACATTTTTATTTAATATATATACATATTTTTTTAATTGATTTTTTTACAGAGAGGAATAGAGTTAAGAAACATCGATGAGAGAGAAACATCGATCAACTGCTTCCTGCACACCTACCACAACCAAGGCACATACCCTTGACTGGAATTGAACCTGGGACCCTTCAGTTAACAGGCTGACACACTCTGTCCACTGAGCCAAACCGGTTAGGGCGGCCATAAATCTTTAAGAAACCCTGAAATCGTGAAGATTTTAATTCAGCTGTGAATCAGTCTTTTAATTATTTTATGACAAATTTCTTTGGAGGTATTTATAGTTTGTTTTTGGCAACACACACAACTTTCAGTTTCATAAATAAAAACAGGAAATACTCGTTCTTATTGGGCATAGTTCACTTTTTAGTAATCCACACACTATTCTTTAAAGTCCTATCAGTTTTGCATGGTGTTTATAGAACCTACTCTGTCTGTCCTCTGCTAGGCTCACGTTTTCTGATTTCTGTGATGGGAAGATGTGATTTTGTCTGCCACGTTAGCTCAGGATCTACTTTTGGCAGGGACTTACTTTAGTCTGTTGACTTGCTGTGCACATGGTTGGCTTCCCCAGGTACAATAAACGTGTATTTTATTTAGTTACCTAAATGATCTGGAAAGAATATCCCAACCCAACTACATTCCAACTCAGCAAGACGTCCTGCGGACCAGAGTGAAGACCACAGGCATCGTGGAAACGCACTTCACCTTCAAAGACCTGTACTTCAAGTAAGTCACCGACACAGACGTGTTTCTCTGGTTAGTCTCTCAGTCAGGGGGAAGGTGCTCTAGGCAGTAGCTCTGCCCTATTCAGCAGCCTGTATTTGACTGTTTCAACCATGGAAGGCCAAGCATTTCCTTTTTCTCCAAGTAGCATAAATACTTCTGTCCATTTGTTGGTACTAAAATCAAAATGAAGTTATAACTTGGGTGTCAATAGAAGTAATCATATGGCTACCGCTGTGTTTTATTTTATTTTATTTTTGATTCAGAGAGGAAGGGAGAGAAAGAAAGAGATAGAAACATCAATGAGGAGAGAGAATCATTGATCGGCTGCCTCCTACATGCTCCCTACTGAGGATCAAGCCCACAACCCGGGCATGTACCCTGACCAGGAATCAAACCAAGACCTCTCCTGGTCATAGATCAGTGTTCAACCACTGAGCCACACTGACTGGGTGCAGGGTGTTTTGTTTTTAATTTTACTATTTTCAGCTGCTTTTTTGTTGGAACCACCAAAATATTGGGTGTTTATTGTTTAGAAGGGTAACAATAATTCTAAAAGGGCAGGAGACCGGTTATGTGGCTTTGTTCGGCCTTTTTGGCATTAAAATGGAAATGCTTTTCTCACCAGTGTCAGTCCTTTCTTCCTGGTTGCATATCCCTTTAAGTTTAGTGGAATGGAGCTGACGTAGTCAGGACTCTTGGGCTGATCTGTGCATAGTGTACGCACAGCTGAGTTTAATACAGTGCAGAGTGGGTAAAACTTCTGGGGATAAAGATATTTGGAGATGTATGATGACATATAAACAGTGGTTGTTTTGGAGAAAATTCTAGTATTTCAATACAAAGAATTTTCTTATCAGCATTAGTAATTGTAAAATAGGCTTCAGCTCATCTCTGTGTTACTGGTCTTTTGTAAATATTAGAACTGTCTTTGGTTTCTGTTTTCTGCTTTTGTGACCTTTGAGATTAGAAGTAGACTTTCTCCCTTCAATGTCTGATGTTCTTTTTAGCTGCCTCTTTATGCTTGTTTGCAGGATGTAGTAGTGAGCATTGTTGCATACAAATGGAACTTTTAGCTCAGAACTTCTATTTTTTTTTCTCTGAAAAAAAAATTAATTTAGAGGATTTGTGAAATACACACAGTTAGGTATTGGATACCAGTTGAGGCCTTGAAATTTTAGTATACCTAAACAGATTTGAAACCTGGAAATAACAGTCCAGCTGAATATTTATAGAAGAGTATATTTCTTTAGAACTGGTGAACTTATTTAATAAGAGTGGCAGAGGCCCTGGCCAGTGTTGCTCATTGGGTTGGATCATAGTGTCGTGCTCTGAGGTCACATGTCCGATTCCCAGTCAGGAGATTCCAAGGTTGCAGGTTTGATCCCTGGTTAGGTTAGGGCACATATGGGAGGCAACTGATTGATATTTCTCTCTCTTTCTTTCTCTTCTCCTTCCCCCCACTCCCTCCACCTTCTTCCCTCTCTTTCTGTCTCTCCCTCTTCCTGACTCTCTACCTCTTCCTCTCTTTTTAAAAAATAAAACATATCCTTTGTGTTCTATAAGATTAATAATCCATTCATAATTAAATGCCATGACCTTTATTTAGTGTGGGAAACTGTCTTGTTGATGTTGGCATAGATTGATCTCTAGTTAGTAAACTCTGCTGGTCTTCGCATGTCAGGATCAGTAGCCAGATCTCATTAAGGTGCTGCACCCACTTTGTTGGCATGTAGCTATCTTATTTTGAAGTACTATCGCTTCTTCCTTTTCCTCTTCTCTCTGGGCAAAGCCACTACCCATTGATTCACACATTTATTGAACATCTGTAGGCAAGGCATTGTGTAATTGCTTACCTGCCTCTCAGTTACAAGGTTAATGTTTATAAAATGTCCGTCTGTTAGTGAATGATATTGTAAATGTTAATGTGTGCTAAAAGTCCATGTTGGGAGCATCCTAGTGTTCCACTAGTTTTATGAACTTTTTAGAAGAAAACGGAGGAGTAAACTGAATTATTGGGGTACCAGTGATGTCTCCCCATGAGAGACATCCTAGGTGAAATATATGATGTCAGCGTTCCTAAAACCTATAGTATTACCCTGTTTCAAAGCCAACTTGTGATTGCGTCATTATAAGTATCATGACCAAAGATCGGGGGAAAAACCCACTGTAAGGTCAACCAGAAGAAAAAGTTGGTCGTGAAGAGATAAAATGACCATTTTCTTCAAACACACATTGAGAAATTATTCAACTGCCACAGTCTCTGCAGGGGGAAAACATCTCTGGAACTAGATCCCTAGCCACTGTAGATCTGGTAACTAAACCAGCTTGGCAGAGTTTTAACCTTTAAACATTTTGTCACCATCACCAAACATACATCTTCAGGATGTCTCACCCTGTATATGCCTACCTCCTCTGCCCTAGTGCCAGCTGAGACCCAGCTGTGCAAGTGCTTCTTGTGCAGAAGGAGGTGGCTGAGGACATTGCTGACAGAAGTTCAGCAGGGGCCTCAGGATATCAAGTGAGCCCCAGAAGGGAGCAGGGGACTCAAAAACTCATCGGATGGAGTGTGAAGTGTGCCAGCATTGAGGCTTTGTTAGTATTTATTAGGTTCACATGAGACTGGGGGTTGAGAAACATTGGTTTTGTTTTTAGATACTGACTTGTTTAAGAGTCCTACCAAAAAACATAATTTCCTTTTTTTCCATAATTAATCTCTAAAATATTTTTCTTTAAGAAAAACTTATCTCAATTATACCTAATTTAAAAAAAAAAAAAAAGAAAAAAAAAAAAAGAAAGGGAGAGGTTATGGAAGAAAATGCAGGTTGGGGATTTATATGTTGTTATGTTCTCAAAAGAGGTAAACCATTTGAGAGGTGCAGTGGTTTGTGGATAAGAGCCTGGGTGCTGGGGTCAGAGTGCCTGGGTTCAGAGCCTCAGTCCCCATTTGTTAGTTGTGTGTCCTTGGGCAAATCAGTTAACACATCTGTGCCTCAATTTCTTCATCTGTAAAATGGGGATACTTACAGGAGTCAGGAGTGCTATGAGGGTTAAGTCAATTAATGCACTTAAAATGTTTAGGATGGTGTCTGGCATCATGATAAATACTCAGTAAATATTAGGTATTGTTATTATCTTGAGTGTATTATTCAGCTCTATTTTCCCTGTCCTTTTTCCTCTCTTTCCTTCCTTTCATTTCAGTGCTTACTCTGGCTTGGCACATCTGATACAAGCTGATAGAGAGGAGGCTCAACTATCTCTGAAATGAGAATTTTGATTTTTTCAGAGATTTATTTTCTCATGCTTTGTTTTACTTTTAACCACAGATAATTATTTTGACTACACTTTATCTGATGCTTTGTCTGTTTTCCCCTCACAAGCGGGTGTGGAATATGCAGGGATGGGAAGTCCCTCACCATTTCCGTTTAGGGAGGGGTGTGATCTCGCTGAATCTGTGCTTTCCCCTCCTCAGGATGTTTGATGTCGGTGGCCAAAGATCAGAACGGAAAAAGTGGATTCACTGTTTTGAAGGAGTGACGGCCATCATCTTCTGTGTGGCCCTCAGTGACTATGACCTCGTTCTGGCTGAGGATGAGGAGATGGTATGTTGTAGCCTCTGGAAAAGCCTGTCTGTGCATCCCAGAAACAGAAACTAGCTTTTAGGAAGACTGGGTCATCCATGTGCTCATTGAATCAAAACTTAAGTCCCATACTTTTTTCCTTGTCAGGGAAATCAGATTTTCAAAATACCCATTCATGCCCTATTGACTCTTTAAGAAATAGGACCGTGGCAGCAGGGTGAGTGTGTGGGCAGGATTAAGTCCTTATCAGCCAGTTCTCTTCCCACCTCCTCATCTTCCAAGAATTACAAAAATGAGGACTGGCCTAGACTTTGTTATCAGTGTCTGACTTAATTCCACGGTGCCATTCAGTGTTTTTAAACTTGCTGTTCTTACTTTTTGTGACTGACCTATCATCCTTTATTTCTTTTTCAGAACCGAATGCATGAAAGCATGAAACTCTTTGACAGCATTTGTAACAACAAATGGTTTACAGACACGTCAATCATTCTCTTCCTCAACAAGAAAGATCTTTTTGAGGAAAAAATAAAGAGGAGTCCATTAACCATCTGCTATCCGGAATACACGGGTAAGCATGGAAGATTTCATTGGAAGCACCCACCTGAGACCAACACTCCGTGACAGTCCTCCAGCTGCCTCTGTGAGGAACAAGCCTGCTGTCCTCAGGGCGGTGTTGGCCGGGAGTCAACATGGGAATGTGATTAGACCCCTGGAGACTGAGGTGCTGTTCCAGACACAGACGAGTTTACCAGTTTGTTTTATCTTTCTGTCCTCATTTTTTGAGGGAGATAGAGAAAGATAAAAATCAAAATTTGGCATAAATATGTTCAAGAAAGTGCAGGGATGAGGTGCAATCTTTGCACTCAAGAAACTGACAGTAATTGTAGCAAGAGATACATGGCCATGTGAAAAACTTCATTGTAGAATAAAAGGTTGATGAATAGAAGAACAGAAGCAGTGGTTACTTCAATGGGTCAGTACAGTCTTTGTCTCGAGGAAATGACTTAGAGTCTCTCTCTCTCTCTCTCTCTCTCTCTCTCTCTCTCTCTCTCACTCACTCTCTCTCTCTTCCTTCTTCTCTCCCACCCTCCCTATCTCTCCCTTCCTCTAAAATCAATAGAAAACATATCCTTCCTCTGTCTTTAAAATCAATAAAAAACATTAAGGAGTCTAGATAGGGTGAGTGGATGAACAAAGAATGGCATGGCTGAAACCGGTTTGGCTCAGTGGTAGAGCGTCGGTCTGCGGACTGAAAGGTCCCAGGTTCGATTCTGGTCAAGGGCATGTACATTGGTTGCGGGCACATCCCTGGTAGGGGGTGTGCAAGAGGCAGCTGGTCGATGTTTCTTTCATCGACGTTTCTAGGTCTCTCTCTCCCTTCCACCTCTCTGTAAAAATATCAATAAAATATATTTAAAAAGAAAAAAAAAGAATGGCTTGTCCATGGAGCATCATTCAGCCATAAAAAAGAACGAAGTATGATAGCTGCTACAGCTCGGATGCGCTCCGTAAACATGATGCTAGATGAAAGCAGCCAAATATTAGGTCTAGTAATAATTAATGTCGTTTTCTAATACTTTTTTAAATTGAATTTATTTAAACAATACAACAAAATTTAATCAACAATATAGTTGCCGTTGTTTTCTACTACTTGTGCCCAACGCTCAGGAAGCATTTTAATCCCTCTGTTGTAAAATTCTTGTGATTTTGATGCAAAAAATTCGGTCAATACATTTTTGAGGCATTCTTCATTATTAAATTTTTTTCCAAGAAGAAAGTTTTGCAAAGAACGAAACAAATGGTAATCGGAAGGGGCAATGTCAGGAGAATATGCAGGTTGAGGGAGAACTTCCCATTCCAACTGGCACAGTTTTTCAGCAGTGATTCTTGCAGTATGCGGTCGTGCGTTATCGTGGTGAAGAATTATGCCCTTCCGATTAATCAGCGCGGGTTCTTTTTCTCTTAAAGCTTGGGCTAACCTTTCCCATTGGGCACTATACACTGCACTTGTAATGGTTTGGTTAGATGGTAAAAGTTCATAATGAAGAATTCCTTTAAAATTCCACCAAACACACAACATCACTTTTTTCGCATGCAAGTCAGGTTTTGGCGTGGGCTGCGGAGCCTCATTTTTGTCCAACCATTGAGGCCGCCTTTTCAAATTAACATACAGCACCCATTTTTCATCTCCGGTAACAGTTTGCTCTAAAAAACGGCAAACGGTTTTGACGAGAGAGGAGCGAACTACAAATTGTGACTCTGATTACAGTTGTTGTCGGTCAACTCATGAAGAACCCATTTTCCAAACTTTTGGACTTTTCCAAGTGCACGCAATTGATTGGAAATTGATTTTTGTGAACAATTTAAAGTTGTCGCAAGCTCTTGTTGGGTAATTTGAGGATTTTGCACCAAAAGAGCTTGAAGAGCTTCTTGATCAAAATTGGACACACGGCCTCGACCACTCTTGTCATCTAACGAAAAATTTCCCTCGCGAAATTTCTCAAACCAACGCTGGCATTTTCTGGTGCTAACTGCATCTTGACCAAGAGCGCTACAGATGTTTTTTGCAGCCTCACTTGCTTTTCTTCCTAATTGGAACTCGTAAAGCATGCAGTGCCGAATATGCTCTTCATCCGCCATCTTCTTAGCCCTAGTTTTGCAACAAAAACCAAACCAAACACAAACTTTTTCAAGCAAAACTTGTTAATTGCACTTCACACGTTCTGTAGATACCACGTGTTTGAAGGTTATGTCAATACAAGTCAACGCCAAGCAAGATTTTAAACGAATGTTTAAAACGACATTAATTATTACTAGACCCAATACAAAAGGTCACATTGTGTGATTCCTTTTATCTGGTCCATCCGAATGGCACTCCATGGAGACAGAAAGCAGATGGTTGGTGGTGATCAGGAGATGGTGGGGAATCGGGTGTTTTTCTGGGGTTAACAAGTTTTTAAACTAGAGAGAGGTGCTGGTTGCCTAACATTGTGAATGCAGGAAACGCTACTGTATTGTGTGCTTTGAAGTGGTTTGTTAGATGTTAGGTGAAGCTTACCTCAGCTTTATAAAAGGAGTAGGTAGAGCAGTTGAGTTTGAAACCAGAAAGAAGACCTCTCTAAGACCAAAGGTACAAAAGTAAGTGCAGGGAGCAGTAACTAAGCAAGGTGCTGAACTAGAAGGTTAAGATTATAGTTGAAGCTCTGTGGCCTCTGTTTCTCGGGGAAATTGGAAATGTGGTCCTCAGCTCAGAGGGAGGCGGGGGGTGAGAGCTGGGTGAGTCGGAGGTGTGGAGGGGAATCTTTCTTAAAGTTTTTTAGTATATATTTTTTATTGATTTCAGAGAGGAAAGGAGAGAGAGAGAGAGAGAGAGAGAGAGAGAGAGAGAGAGAGAGAGAAACATCAATGAGAGAGAATCATTGATGGCTGCCTCCCGCAGGCCCCCTACTGGGGATCGAGCCTACAACCCGGGCATGTGCCCTGACTGGGTGGGAATTGAACTGTCACCTCCTGGTTCATAGGTTGGCGTTCAACCACTGAGCCACGCTGGCTGGAAATCTTCTTTAAGACAAGTAAAAGGATTGACATTAATGTTCCATCAGTAGGTTTCTTTACACATAGCAAAAGCCCTGGATGTCACCACTGTGTGTGTGTGTGTGTGTGTGTGTGTGTGTGTGTGTGTGTGTGAACTTCCAAGCCTGTTTTCTGAGGTATTCCCAGTCCTGATTTCCCAAATATCAGTATCTGTTCCTACGGACAGATATGTTTTTCAGTCCTCTATTGCCTTTGAATTACACACGTCCTGCAGATCTGTAGGAAACCATTTCAAGCCCCTACCAAGCTATCTTCCTTCGGTTCTTTAGACGTTCTGTTGACATAACACCCTTTAGTTACTATTTCGTGTTGATGTGCTCGGTGCTGGTGTTTCTTGTTATGCTTGATGTCACTGACAGCAGCCTCTGGTTCGCAGGAATCCGTTTCTGTTGTCCGTTGCCTTTTCCTGGCTCTGTAGCCAGTTTCGAGGCTACTCTTAAAGGCTCACAGGTAGACAGATGGTGTAGGAAGCAGGTGATTAAGGGTGTTAATTACAAATATTTACAATGGGGTTTGGTCCTCCCTCCCCCACCCCCACCTTAAAAAAATTACACCATTATTGAGGTATAATTCACATACCATAAAATTGACTACTTAAAGGTGTATAATTCAGGGCCCTTTCCCTTTGCATCTGTTAGTGTACCTTTGGTTCTTTAAATTATTGCATCAAGGCTCTGAGGCCGAGCCCCTGTAACACTGGAATGATTTTGAAACGAAATGTGACTTACCCTTTGAAATCATTTCACATCTCTTCAAGGAGGACGGGCTTTGTGACCTTCTGAACAATTGTGTTCTTCTAGAAACGTATGCTCCTACTCGCCTAGTTTCCTTTTATACTTTGTAGGGATTTTTAGCCAAGAGGTCTAAATGAAAGGGGAAAGAGAAGCTCAAAGTCTGTCTTTCTGAATCTTGATGTGTGATGATTTTGTGAGTTTATAATGATATGAGTCCGCTCTGAAGAAAAACCTACTAATGATAGAGAAATAGAGAAACGTGCCGGTATCCCATCGGCCCCCGGGCCCTCTCTTTGGCGCTAACGGACGAGACAGGCGTGTAATGTGAACTGAGGATGTGTGTGTCTGCCTCAGGTTCCAACACATACGAGGAGGCAGCCGCTTACATCCAGTGCCAGTTTGAAGACCTGAACAGAAGGAAGGACACCAAGGAGATCTACACCCACTTCACCTGCGCCACCGACACCAAGAACGTGCAGTTCGTTTTCGACGCCGTCACGGATGTCATCATCAAGCACAACCTGAAGGAGTGTGGGCTGTACTGAAGCGCGGGGCCGGGAACCAAAGGTAACATCGGGGCCGTGGTCACCAGCGCGGCAGCCGCGTCTCTCGACTCGGTACACGTTCTCTAACGAAGAATGTTCTTCCCCTCTAGTGACCACATGTGGAGTGTTGAGACCAGACCTCTCCTGCTGTCTCATTGCGCAGCAGCGAGCATGACCATGACCGGGACCAGGGATGGCGGCAGCATGCAGACTAGCGCTCTCTAGCACAATCTTCTGTATTCGGGACTCTTAATTGACTGCTCAAGTCAAACATGGAATTGGACAGCCATAAAGGATGGATCAAGACATCACGTGGATTTCAAAATCTCAAACTTTAGGGCAGATGTGAAGCTGAGGTGCTGCATTCCAGAACTTCAATATGTAGCTTCTTTTTTTTCCTTGTTAACAGACCATCAGTAGTTTATTTTTTAAGGTGGTTTTCTTTTTTCCCATCAAGAATACACAGTTTTATTTCTTTGTTTGCAAAAGAATCTTTATTAAAACACACACAGTCTTAACTATGCACAAGATATAAGCAGATCATCTTGAAAACATTCCTCTTAGTAGGAACTCTTTGTTTTTTAACTCTTGGTATGGTCAGAATATAATATTTCTGTACTTGTGTAATTCTTCAGTTATTGGGACTATAATTACGGCTTTTTTTGGATGAAACGTGTGTTACTATTCTGTTAGAAATACCATAGTGATTTCTAAATGATAATTACAGTGGAGATTTCTGTCTAGCTCTCTCTTTTTTTTTTTTAAGCTTAGGGTTGAGGGTTAACCGGGTTTATGCTGATTACCAAATTATTAAATAAATGCTTCTATAGTATGATAAAGTCAACTTCTTGGATACAGACATACCCAGGGCAGCTGCCAATCAAATGCAAATTGCTAAATTTTATCTTTTTTTTTTTTATTGCTAAATTTTAAACAGAACCAGTGACTTTGCTGCTACGTCCCTACTAAATTGACCGTCTGATCCTTGCTCGTCTGTCTCAGAGGGAGTTTTGTAAACGATGCCCCTTGTTTTTCATCTCCTGTGGCCTTTTTTTGGTTGGGAAACAAACATCTGAAGTGTATTAACAGTGCATGCTTTTACTTTGTAAACGTGGTGCCAAAGTCGTTTGCCATTGTTTTTATTGTAGCAATGTTAATTGTAATAACCCTTAGGACGTTATTTTGCCGAAACCATTGCATTTGGGGGCCTTTTTCCACGTTGTGTGTACAGATTTTAATCCGTTACAGTGGCAGCAGTATTAAAATGATGAGTAAAGAGTCCAGGTTTGTTCCTGTATGTAACTAGTCCTTTCTGGAAGTAGATTCTTTTTGCCCCTGCTGAGTGTGCTTTGGCCTTTGTCTGAGAGTGGGTTTAGGAAAGAAAGTTCCCTGGAGGCTAGCCTTTTGGTGGAATTGTATTGTTGAGTCTTGGCCAGCCTGAGGATCTTATGTCCCATCTGTGTAAATGACTGGCGTCACAGTCCCTTCCCCAGATTGACATTTTGGTTGTGTGGGGAGCTGGACTCGCCTCTGCCTACAGGTCCTTTTGTACAATGTCCAGCAAATGTCATTAAGTAGTGAACGGTCCATTGTGGAAGGCAGATGAGAAAGCGTTTTGAGCAGTCCATGTCACTGGTTTAAGCAGTGCCTTTTGGGGTCCAGTCTTACAGGATTGGATTCTGTTTCATCTTTTGATGTGACCTTTCACTAGTTTAAAAAGAAAAAAAAATGTTTGGTGGTCATCGAAACTGGTTCCAGAAGTAAGCCACCGTAGTTCAGTGCCTTTATTGGTAGTTTTTTTCTTTTTTCCTTTCTTATTCTTTTTTGGAAAAGTATTACTATGCAGATGGTGTACCTTGTTATCTAATGATTTTATTTTAGGGTTGTGAAAACTGGACCTAAAAGAAAGAAAATTACCAGCTTTAATTAATGATTGACTTATTCCCACAATGTAAATAGGGATGATAGTTCTTGTTTGTTTTGAATATATCTTTCCCTTATTGTATTTTGTAAATAGAATCACCTGGAAATGAGAATTGCTCCACTGTTGTGTTAACTGTAGTATTTCTATAGTCTGGGCTGGTGGGATGGTGGTGTTGATAGCCCATAATAACAGATAACCCCAAAAAGTTAATTTTACTTTGAAATGCATTTTGTATTTTCATTTGAATATGTCTGTGTTCATTTTTAGCCCTTCTGTTAGTGACAAACAGTAGTTCTCCACTTTTCTGCCTCTCACACCATTTACACTTGTTCTGTGTTTTCATGAAGATCAATCCCACCCCCTCCCCCATCCCCAGTAACTTACCTGAATGTACACTCCTCGGTGGACACAGGGACACAGTTGAAGTTGGTGGTTTTCAAATATGCCTTAAGTCCAGAACACTGGACCCATCTCAGAGATCGGCTGGTGGCCAGCAGGCTAGCAATCCATCTTTAACAGGGCTATTCTGTTCATCAGGCTTGCAGATCGCTATCGTATCTTGAAATACAAGATTCTTCCTCACAGCTAGAATGTGGGGATGAAACTTACTATCTGCTAGCCTGGAGAAAAGATTTGATATGTGTAATTAAAGAAACAAAAAGCTGCTGTGTCTGCCTGTGAAGAATGCTAGTGATTTGTGATGGATCATGTTTCAGAATTCAGGTGGCCAGGCTGTGGACCATCCAAGAAATCAGCACATTTAAGAACATTAAATTGTAATAAATAAAGAACAGTATGTAATAGACCTGAGCAGGAAGGACTGCAATTGTAGCTTCTTTTTGTTGACAGCCATATCTTCCTCGTCTGTTAAACCTTGGGCTGTGGGATTGCCGCCCACTGGACTCTCTATAAAGAGGAAGCATCTGCTTCCTGGCCAGTCTCCCCTACCTTTTTCATTCAGCCTTGCAACAGATTTCACCTCCTGGCATGAAAATCCCAAAGACATTCGCAGTTTTTCGTGAGTGGACTTTGAGATGCCATTTTTGTTTTGGACAGATTTCTAAGTCTAGTTCAGTGTATCATTTTATTTCCACTGATGGATTTTTATAAAGTGCTGCCTTCTACGAATAGATGGACCACATTTTTAAAAACTGTTCTCTTGCCTTGTTTACTTTTTCTTCCTATTGGTTTTATGATATGCATATTGTAGAGTATTTAAAAATAATTGCTGGTTCTTCTAGTTCTTTTGCTCACCTTCATTGTGTACATCCTGGTCATTGTTCTCCTTTTGGGGTTGTGACGTTCTGTGGGCATTGTTGGCCTGACCTGGCTGAGGACTCTCTCCATCTGTTTATCTATTTGCTTAGCTTAGGTCTGGAGTTTCCTATTGCAGAGCTGTTGCTGTCTGCAATTACATAGAAGCCAAAGTTAGTCTCATTCCAGGTAAACCCTGCCTTTGATTGATTTTTCCCTCCCAAATGTTCAAAAACTCAGTCCTCTACTCACTTATAAAACTTAAAACAGCACTTATTCCCTTCCCTCTTATCACTTGCAAAACCTTTTAGATGTGATACTGATAAGACTTAGTGTGGGTTTTTTTTTTTTATGTTTTTATTGACTTTTAGAGAGAGAGGAAGGGAGAAGAATGGAAAGATAGAAATATCTATAAGAGAGAAACAACATCGATCAGCTGCCTCTTGCATATCCCCTAATATGGATCACGCTAACCCGGGCGTGTGCCCTGACCGGAATCAAACTATGACCTCATGGTTCCTGAGTGGACATCAACCACCGAACCACACCTGGCAGGTTGTGATACTGACTTTAACAGCCAAGTTGTCTCACTTTCCCAGTATTCTCCTCAAGGCTTCCCAGTAAAGTGAGAGAAGTGACCTCGGACTGGCCACAGCTCTCTGCGTGGCTTCGTGGCCATCCAAGCACAAGGGAAAACCAGCTGCTTTGAGGCCTCTCGTTGGAGTTGGTCTTGCTGTCCATCAGCCATTGGGAAGTAAAAGACACGAGGCCCTGAAGAATGCCTTCCGGGATGGTCAGGATCTCTGTCCGGGTTCCTTTGTTTAGATTTTAATCTCCCCCCTCACCTACCCCTCCCCACACACACACACACCTGCAGTTTTCTCTTAACCTTCTATGAGTTCCTTCTGCTGAGGAGCACGTGCTTCTGAACAAGCCAGGGCAGTGTCTTCCCGGTCCTGCGTCAGGCTGGGTCTGGCCTGGCCTCTCAGGAATACAGTGACAGGAATGTACACAGGCGCAGAGATGAGATCCGCGATTCAGATGTGGACGTTCCTCGGCTGGGCTACTTTGCATTTGCCAGTAAGAAGCACTTTTTGTCCATGATTTACAGGAGCTAGTTTTTATACAAAATGAAGACAAAACAAGAACCCAGGACTTCCAAGCATTTTCTTCGCTGCATTTATGTATGCATTGGAAATGGGAAGATTCACATACACACTAACAGTCAAACCTGTGGCAGAGCTAACTGCGAATGCACTGCCATGACCCTTCACCGTTCCTGGATGAAGAGCACAGCTGGCCTAAGCTGAAATGGAAGTCTTTTTGGAGGGGCCTGGGCCAGGGTGGGCGGGTGAGGGGATGATGGAGGAGTCAGCAGGAAAGGCGTTGTGTGCCCGGGGCTGATGTTTGCCTGAAGCCCAGTCGGAATCAGCAAGGTGGCAGCCATCATACATAATTAGCTGGGACACACCGGCTCTGTACGAGCAGGCACTGAGCTGTGAGGTTTGAGAGCTGGAATAGTCAATACATTTTGTACAACTGGATTTTTCTGTCTCCTAACCTCTGTTATCCTCCATCGTATGCCCATATTCCATGTATGAGAGATTCCCCCAGGAGACATAACAAAATCACAAGAAATTACCTGTTCTAATAGTTTGTTCTTGCTCATGTGGGATGAAGGTCCTGAGGCCCCAGGATCTTAGGACCTGGGGAGTTGTCCAGTGTGCTGGGTTTTTCCCTCATTCCCATCCAGCTACAAAATCTTTCCGTCTCACATTCCTATTCTGTTAACAGTGGGCTGAGTTATATCTTCCAACTATGATGCTCCATGGTTCTCATCAAAGATAGAAGTAACATTTAAAGGTGCTTTGTAAATACTCGTGGCTCCCAAGATGACACTGCAGAGCCTTTGTGGCGGCTTTTCCTTTCTCAACATCTCAGTGTCCCATCTTCTTGTTAAAGACCTGAAGGGAAGTTCAAGTGTATGTGAAGCAAGTGAAAGGTCTTTATTTTCTGTGTTATTTTATAAATACATTTTTATTGATTTCAGAGACGGAGGGAGAGGAAGAGAGAAACATCAGTGATGAGAGAGATCATCGATTGGCTGCCTCCTGCACACACCAGGCATGTGCCCTGTCTGGGAATTGAACCGTGACCTCCTTGTTTGTAGGTTGATGCCCAGTGAAAGGCCTTTGCTTTATTTTTTGTTCACTTCATTGCTTGCTTTTTCATGACCAAAAGGCACCAAAAAGTTGTCAGTTTGATTCTTGGTCAGGATACGTGCCAGGGTTGCAGGCTCAGTCCCTAGTTGAGGGAGCATGCTGATTGATGTTTTGCTTTTACATCAATGTTTCTCTCACTCTCAAAAAATCAGTAAAAATCTTTAAAAACAAAACAAAACAAAAAAGTCAACAATGTGGCATGATTGGGGGGAAGTGTGTCCTCCCTATCTGAAGATGGATTAAATGGGATAAATTTACTTTGGAGGCCTGTGTAGACAGGTCATAGCTGTAGCGAGGATTCTAACCTGGTGCTTCAGAGCTGCAAAGATAGAACTCTGTGTGCTGGTTTCCTTTGTAAATCTCGGAACTTAATGCCTTTTAAATATTCTGAGAAGGGCCCAGAGGGATCCATATCTCATATAATAAAGAGCTAATATGCTAATTAGATTGGACAGTGGGCGGGGCCGTCAGGCTGCCAGGGCCGATCCTCTTGCACAAATTTCGTGCATCGGTCCTCTAGTACAAAAAATACAAAACCCCAAAAACCACAACAGGAACCCCAGAACCCCTGTATGTGGGATTAAAACAGGTAAGTCATGGTTGGAGCAAGCCATTTAGAAAACTCCATGAACAGCTCTTGGATACAAGAGGTCTTACCCAGATTTTTTTCTTTGGCTTGAGTTTTGGTTTGTTTTTAAAAAAAATATTTATTCGGGGGAGAGAGAGAGAGAAACACATCCATGATGAGAGGGAATCATCGATGGGCTGCCTCCTGCATGCCCCACATTGGGGATCTAGCCTGCCTGCAGCTTGGGCATGTGCCCTGGCAGGGAATCAGACTGACCTCCTGGTTCATAGATGGACCCTCAGCCACTGAGCCACGCCGACCAGGCTTTGGCTTAACGTTTTTTACGTGGCAGTAGGCAGGGTATTTTTCCTTAATTCTCCCAAGTTGGTTTCTTTTCAAGGCCTCTTGAATGAATCCAATTTTAACAGCTGCAAGTGTCTCCTTCAGTGTGTTTCTAGTATCAACATTGCTAGTAGCAGCCTGAGTGCGAATGTGAGCTTCTGGCAGAGAGTGTGTTTTCATTTTAATCCACACGTTCTTTTAGAGGCTAAATCTTGCTGCCAAGAGCCTTCCTTGCTGGTGGTTGTAAAAATGCTAAATCCATCCTGCACCGCCTCCTGTCACGATAAATGCGAGCTTGTTTCCCCTCGGAGGGATCTCGTGCTTGTTGGTCTGTTTGGGAAGATGTTTTTTGCATGGGCCCACCCAGCTGCAAAGCTGTTTATTGCCTAAAGCAAGATCCGCTGGCTTTTCTATTCTGAAGCAAATAGCAGTTGAAATGAGAATCTTAGGACTGCTCACTTGTTCTAGAATCTATGGTGGAGGAGGAGCAGCAGTAAGATCTCTAATACCCCCAGTGGGACTGGGCTGAGGACCCTCCACACTTACTTAGAAAGTGGCCTGTGTAGCTGAGAAAGTTACCTAACGTAAAGGAGACTCGGCCCTTGGGGGCCAGCGGGGCAGCCTGCTTAATAAAATGGTGGTTATTCTCTCTGTGCCTTGGAAACTCACTCACCTCTAGTCGGTGACCTGGGTGTCTGAGCGAAGACGCACAGACTCTGTTAGTAAAAAGGGGTGGTAGGTTTACATTGATTTTTGCTATTTTGTTTGGGATAGTTCATTGCAAAACCTGGTATTGATTTTCATAAATGGCAGCGTTTACATAGGGTTTCTCTCTGTGCCTTCCCTGCAGTTGTGTTTGTGATCATCAGAACAGCCCTGGGAAGTAGAGAAGTTATTATACCTTCGCTTTGCTGGTGTGGGGCCCGTGAGAGATGAAATGTGTACGTTTTGTTTTTGTTTTTTGTTTTTTTAAATATATTTTTATTGATTTTTTACAGAGAGGAAGGGAAAGAGATAGAGAGCCAGAAATGTCGATGAGAGAGAAACACCGACCAGCTGCCTCCTGCACACCCCCCACCGGGGATGTGCCTGCAACCAACGTACATGCCCCTGACCGGAATCGAACCCGGGACCCTTCATTCCGCAGACTGATGCTCTACCACTGAGCCAAACCGGTTTCGGCGAAATGTGTACGTTTTGTAAGTTGCAGAACCAGCACCGGACCGGGGGCTCCTGGCTCCTGGCCGCGGGCTCTTTAAACTCGCCGGCCACCCCGCTCTGAAAAGAATGTGCGAGACCGTCCGGAGCACGCACTCCTTCCCCGTCTCACGGGGTCGTCACCGGACATTTTCTGCTTAAAACTGCCCAGATGCCAAGCCTGTGCATGGAAGCTGCACGTGGGGAAGGATGGCGACTAGAAGAGCCCGCAGTCCTTGAGGTTCTCCTTGATGATGATATCTGTAACTGCGTCAAACACAAACTTGACGTTTTGCGTGTCCGTAGCGCAGGTCATGTGGCTGTAGATTTCTTTGACATCTTTTCGCATGTTGAGGTCAAGGAACTGGCTCTTGATATAATTCCCTGCGTCCTCATAAGAGTTGTTTCCTGGTTTTCCAGAAAAAAATAGTGAAGAAATGGGGTAAATTAACCCTTGGCTGCTCACTTGCTTTTTGGGTGACTGACTTGACCCTCAAAGTGTTAGGAGTCAAAGCAAAAGCAGTTGGGGCCTGCTTTTTTGGGGGGGAGGGGGGAGCCCTCTCCTGTATTGCACTCCAGTGTTTCTCACTTGAGTTGAGCAAAGAAGTCAAGCTGAGAAGTGTCTGTCTGTCTCCACCCTTGGTTTCTGGGAGATCCCATTGGAATAGGCCAGTGGTCGGCAAACTCGTTAGTCCACAGAGCCAAATATCAACAGTACAACGATTGAAATTTCTTTTGAGAGCCAAATTTTTTAAACTTAAACTATATAGGCAGGTACGTTTTTATTCACTTAATTAGGGGACTCCTAAACTGGCCTTTGCTAAAAACTAAAGAGGCCAAAGAGCCGCATGTGGCTCACGAGCCACAGTTTGCCCACCAGGGGAATAGGCAACCGCTGGCTCTCCTGCATCTGACACCTGAATATAAACCTAGCTCTGTCCACTGAGCCAAGCCAGCTAGGGTTCTAACTCTCCCTCTCTCTTCCTCTCTGAAATCAATAAAAATTAAATTGGGAAAACCTAGAACTGGATGTCCATGTTTCTCTGATGAGACAGCCAAGTGTCACTTGGACATCACAGAGCTCCTAGGAGGAAGGAGTGCTAGGGGATAAGGAGTCATCAACGTGGCATCAGCAGGGGCGTTACTTAATACTCCTCAGAGACTGGTTCCTCCCTGCCTCCGTGGTGTGGGAAATGGCTCATGCTGGTCGCCAGCCCTTGACACTTACCCTCGTACTCGGGGAAGCAGATGCTGAGGTGCACCTTCTTGATTTTTTCCTCAAAGAGGTCCTTCTTGTTGAGAAAGAGGACGATGGACGTGGCCGCGAAGAACTTGTGGTTGCAGATGCTGTTGAACAGGTGCAGGGACTCGTGCATGCGGTTCTAGCGGGAGGAAACACACCAGGCACCAGGCTGGGCTCATGGGATGGGCGTTTGCCTCCTGTTCTGGGAGAGGCTGGTGCCAAATGCCAAAAGCAAGATCGGGAACAGCTTATCTCTAGTTCAGCCAACAGCATCTGGCTTCCTCCTGATCTTCCTGTCCTGTCCGCGTGACGGGGGAATCATCGCGCTTGTCTGGGTCTGTTTCCCTATCTCGGGCTATTACGCAGGTTCGGTGAGCCCATGCGTGGAGCATGCCGTGATGGTGAGGGCCAAGAACGCCCTGCAGGCCTTTGGCAGCCAGGGCACACTGAGGATTGTGACACCCGCACGTCTCAAGCTGCTGATCTGGGTGGAGACCCAGCCCTTGTTAGCGTGCGCCCACTTGCGTCTCCAGGACGATTTGGATGGGCTTCTGATAGGGTCCCGCATCTCAGCGCGGGCAGGAATGTTAATGGTGCTGAACGGTGAGGGCGAGAGAGCCCGGTACCACACCACAAGCACTTCTGCCCATTTCCTTCTCTGAGCGCCACTTTGAGCGAGGAGAACTGGGGCTGTGTATCTGCAGGGCCCAGAGGGGCCCAGGCCAGCCCGGTCTCAGGGAGCAGGCCATTGGGGTCTTGAGCGATGCCCTTAGCTAAGTTGCTCCATCTTTTCATCTGATGAGAAAACAAACCTAACGTGCAGCCTTTTGTCATTGCTAAATCCTCCTGCAAACCCTGTCAGAGCCCGCAGACTTGGAGAGGTCTTGGGAGATGAGCAGGGTGGGAGACGTTTTGCTAGAGGGTGTGTAGGGTGCCCCGACGGGACGTGAGCTAAGGAGAAGGGAGAACGCCTGGAGGGGGGGCAGGAGGCCGCTCACCACTTCGTCGTCTTCCACCAGCACCATGTCGTAGGCACTGAGGGCCGCACAGAAGATGATGCACGTGACCCCCTCGAAGCAGTGGATCCACTTCTTCCTCTCCGACCTCTGCCCCCCCACGTCAAACATCCTGAGGGAGGAGAGCGGGCCTCGTGGGGGGTGGCCCCGTGTGCGGGGACGGGCCCCCTGTCTGGTGGCTACCCCGGGAGGCGGCCGGGTGGCAGTGAGGGCGAGGGGGGAGGACACCGGTTCGGGTGGGCGTTAGTGAGGGTCAGGACGCACGCCCGTGCCCTCTGATGTCAGCGGTGCTCTCAGGGTGCCACCGTCTCACCTGAAGTTCAGGTCTTTGACGGAAAACTTGGTCTCGATGATGCCTGTGGTTTTGACTCTGGACCGGAGCACATCTTGCTCATTGGGGAGGTAGTTAGGGGCTGTGATCCGGTCTAACTGGTTGAGGTAGCTGGAGAAAAGTGGTTGGCATCGGTGACATTACGTTCTCCACCAACACGGCCCAGAGAGGTCGAGCATCACCCAAAGGCATCCAGCTAACTTGGCGATGGAGCCAGGACCAGACTCCATGTTGTTAAAACGAGGCTTCTTCCCTCGGGGCCTCGTGCGTCCTCACAAAGGCAGTGTGGGGTGGGCTGAGGTTCCGCCCCATTGGAGTTGAGTCAGGAAACTGCCATTTCCCCTGATGACGGGGTTTCCTAGACTCTCAATGAGACTTGGTGGTTTAAAAGGTTTGGCTTAGTGGTAGAGCGTCGGTCTGCGAACTGAAAGGTCCTGGGTTCGATTCCAGTCAAGGGCATGTGCATTGGTTGCGCGCCCATTCCCCGTAGTGGGTGTGCAAGAGGCAGCTGGTCGATGTTTCTCTCTCATCGACGTTTCTAGCTCTCTCTCTCCCTTCCTCTCTGCAAAAAATCAATAAAATGTATAAAAAATAAATTAATTTTTAAAAAAGGTGCCAGAGGTTCCATCCAAAAAAGAGGAGTGGACTAAGAAACCGGAGGACACTCGAGACGGGAATCACTATGATGTCCTATCCCGTTTATATCCTGAATCGAGTTGGGGGAACAGGTGGCATATGGGGGAGACTTGAATGAACACTGACCTGGCTACTTGGTGACATTCAGGAATTTTAAATATTTAGTTGTAGTGATTGTGTTGTGGTTTGTTTTTAAAAAGAGCCCTTCTTTTTAGAGATACATAATGAAATTTTAGGATGAAATGATTGGATATCTGGGATTTACTTCAGTATAATCCAATGGGGGGTGAAGATAAAATGAGTGGCCTCGAGTTGATAACCATAATTTGTTGTATTATTCTACTTTTGTATATGTTTGCCAGTTACCTTTTTTTTTTTAAGTTCAAAAAAGAAGGTGGGGGCGGGGGGAGCAGGAGGAAGGCAGATGTTAAGTGAAGGGACCGAGAGAAAGAGGGAAGGAAAATTAATTCAGGTTCCTGCTGTGTGCCAGGAATCCCACATCCTCATTCAACCTAGCCGGCCCCATGGCTCAGTAGTTGAGTGTTGACCTATGAACCAAGAGGTCACCGTTTGATTCCTGGCCAGGACACAGGCCCTGGTTGCGGATTTGAGCCCCAGTCTGGGGCGAGCAGGAGGCAGCAGATCAAGGATTCTCTCTCATCATTGATGTTTCTATCGTCCCCTGTTCTCTGAGATCAATAATAAATTAATTAAACAAAGCAGTACAGAGCGTGGGAGCTGTGGCCCATGTCCTGCCCTAAAGGTATTCAGTTCCGAGCTCCGTGAGACACCCCGGGGCTCAGCAGGCCGAGCTCAGGCCCTGGGTCTCCATCGTTCTGTGCCTGGAACTTCAGGCTGGTGAGACGTCTCCCCGAGGGTGGCGGACACCCCCTCCCGCCCGGCCGAGCGAGCTTACTAGGCCGCGGAGTCGTTGAGCTGGTACTCCGCCGCTCTGTCGAAGCAGGCCTGCACCCCGCCGTCCTGCCACAGCTGCCTGATCGCCTCCACCAGCTCGGCAGGCATGGTGCCCTCCTCCAGGGAGTCGGCCAGGTTGTTGAGCTGCCGCCCGGCGTCCTGTAAGGCAGAACCCTGGCTGAGCACCACAGGAAGCCCTGGCTGCCCAGGAGGCTTCTGGGAATTCTGCTGGAAGGGCGGCACTGTGCATCGCTCCCGAAGCCTGGGGTGGAGACAGAGGTGGTGTCCAGGGGAGAGTCCACCTGAGAAAACACTGATTAATTCCCGAGATGCAGAGGGTGGCCACGCATCCAGTCCTGGGGTGCTCGGAGGATGGCAGAGGGCCCAGGGGTCCCCCGGGTGTCTCCATCCTCCACCCTTAGGCGGGAGCGTGCGCCTGGCACGTGCCCTTTGCTTCGGAGACCGCACTTCGCAGAGCAGGCTGACCGAGAGGTGGATGCGGCGGGCGGCAGCAGCCTGTCCCCTGGGTGAGGTGTGGGGAATAGGCCAGCCCTCGCACGAGGGATTGAGCTGGGAACAGTCCACAGCAGGGTGAGGAGCCCACGGAGCGATTTCAATGGTAAAATAAGACAAAGAGGCAGAGAAAACTTTTACTGTAAAGGAAGGAATTGCAGCCCAGCTGGCCTGGCTCAGGGGTTGAGCGTTGACCTAGGAACCAGGAGGTCACGGTTCGATTCCTGTCAGGGCACAGGCCCAGGTGGTGGGGTCGATCCCCAGTGTGAGGCCTGCAGGAGGCAGCCAGTCAATCCTCATCATTGATGTCTCTCTCTCTCTCTCTCTCTCTCTCTCTCTCTCCCCCCCCCCCCACTTCCCATCTGAAATCAATAAAAACACATTAAAAAAAAAAGACAGCGCCGAAACCGGTTTGGCTCAATGGATAGAGCGTCGGCTTGGGGACTGAAAGGTCCCGGGTTCGATTCCGGTCAAGGGCATGTACCTTGGTTGCGGGCACATCCCCAGTAGGGGGTGTGCAAGAGGCAGCTGATCAATGACTCTCATCTATGTTTCTAACTCTCTATCTCTCTCCCTTCCTCTCTGTACAACATCAATAAAATATATTTTAAAAAAATAAAAATAAAAAAAATAAATAAAAAAGACAGGAATTGCATGCTTGCTCCAGATGTACACCTGCCTCCGGGACTAAAAAGATTGGAAGCCCAGCAGGTGGGATTCTGGTTACATCACTTTTCGGACACGTGGTTCCTTGCAGCCTGTTGGCTGCTGGTCTGCTCCTTGCTAGCCTTCCTCTCCCTCCAGGCCTACCCACATCCCGTGGGCACATACCGCGCAGCTCAGCTGGGCGTAGTCGATGCCCAGGGTGGGCATGGCGCGGACGATGGCCAGGATGGACTGCAGCACGTTGCCGTAGATGACGGACTTGTACTCCAGGCACTCCTCCGGCGAGTAGCCGTCCTGGTGGATGATCCTGCAGGGAGCGCCGCCCACAGTGGGGCTGAGCTGCCTGGCCTGGCGGCAGGGGGCCTGGGGGCTCTAAAGCGGTGGTTCCAGCTTTGGGCACATGCCCCATGGGGAGTGGGGGGCAATCCGAGGATGGGTTATCCACAGTGAATATTTTCCCATTTCTTATGGCTCTAGGGGCCTCCTGGACAGTATATAAATATGTATTGTGATGCATGTATGCATCTCAGTTCTCTATCATAGGTTTTGAAGTTTACTTGCTATTTTTTCATATCACTTATTTTTTAAAACCTTTTCTTAGGGATTTCTCCCTCAGGACTTCAGCTGTCCTTTCGTTCTTTTATCTTTGTCTTTCGTGGGAGTCATGTTTAGACCAAGTGAATGGCCTGTTCTCCTCCACGTGAGTAGAATAATAAGAATTTTCTGTGTCACAGTCAGGGGGTGGGGCATCAGGGTCTCAGAGATGCTCAGGTGGGCGTGGCCCAAAGAGGAACCGCTGCTTGAAGGATCCGGAGAACCTGACCTCAGTTCCAAAGGGGAGCGTTAGAGGCGAGGGGGTGCAGGTGAGGGGCCTCGGTCCCTCTGTCCTAAAGGCCCAGGCGCCCCTCTGCTGGCTCCGCCTCTCCCCCGCCCCCCGCCCCCACCTCCGGGGCTTCCCTCACTCACTTCATCTGCTTGACGATGGTGCTCTTCCCCGACTCCCCGGCCCCTGCGGAGAAGGGCTCTTGCTCCAGATGTGCACCCCCTCCCCCATCCCCCCTCCCCCATGGGGCACAGCGCCGGAGGCCCTCGCCTGCCAGCCTGAGCAGTTGGGGGAATTCTTGGACACTCTCTCCTCTCCCACCCTTTCACTCAGGAGCCAGAACCCAGGCAGGACTGGAGGGAGCTGGTCCCTTCACTGAATTGCTGTGTTTCTCCTTTATTGACAAAAATGCCCTAATCTCCCTCCATCGACACCCACACACCCTCCGGCCCGCCCCCAGCTGGGGCCGCCGGCTCTAAGCGGCTCACCCTGAAGATAGAATAAAGCTGATTAGGCTTAAAAGATCCCTGCTGGCCGCCTCTTCCCCGCCTCCCGCCTCGGGCCCTGTGGCCTCAGGGCGCGGGGACAGAGAGATGCTCCTCCAGGGTGTCCCCAAGGTCAGCCGCACCACAGGGTGGGGCAGGCCTGGGCTTCCACACCCTGCCCAGCTGCCCTCCACACAACACCCGCCCCCGCCCCCACCCCACCCCCACCCTGCGGTTTTCCTGAGCCAGGTGGCCGGCTCTATGTCTTGGTTCCATTTACAGCAGAGACCAGGGTCTCCTCTGACTGACTGCCGAGGTGTGGTCCCATTTCAGCCCTGACCCCTGATCTGCTCAGGATCCTCCCCCGCTGAAGGCCAGGCCTCCCCTCGGGGTGCCTGCCCCCCCAACTCCCCGGCTGTGTTTACCAGAGCGGGAAGGAGCCGGCTCCTCGGCCAGCGGGCCGTCCCTGCGCCTACATGACACCGATGGTGCACGAGGCAGGCTTTGCCAGTGCCTGTCCTCCGGGTTCTCTGGCTGCGTGTGGGGCCCGTCCACGAGCCCAGGTGTGTGGTTTTGCCAAGCCCCGAGGTGTTGGGTTCGGGTAGGTTCAGAGGGGGCCGGGCCATCGTGGCCCTGGTTCTGTTCCTGGTCCAAGGACTACAGAACCATCACAGTGGAGCTTTCTGATCTGCATCTCAGCCCTGGAGCGCTGACCCCCCAGCCTGAGCCCGGAATGGGAGAGGGACGGGACCGGCCTGTCTCCCCGCCTGGTGGGGTGGGCTGGGCTGGAACCACCTCCACCCAGGCCCAGACTGAGCTGGTGGAGCGGGCCTTCCCCTTCCCGGCTCCTCTCCCGCCGCCTCACCCAGCAGCAGCAGCTTGACCGTCTTGGCCTCCTTGTCCGCGTCCTCCTGCAGCTTCCTCTCCAGCTCCCTGGACCGCTTGGCCAGCTCCCTGTCCTCGGCACTGGCTCCGCTCCCCATCGCCCGGGTCTGCTCTGGTGGCTCCTCCTCTGGGGTCTCGGTCTGGGAGAAGGAGGATGAGGGAGCAGTCAGCTGGGGGGAGTGTCAGTTCCTCAGGCCTGCGAGGCTCTGCAGCCGGAGACCTGCTTAGTGTGGGGATTGTGGCCTCTACATCAGCGCCCAATGGCCAAGCCAATTAAGAGCTCAGGATGACAAAGGGCAGAGACACCATGTTTCCGTGACCTGCTGGGTTCGGGGACAAGAGAACAGGCGAGGGCGCTGGGATCTGGAGTGAGATCACAGCTGCCCCTCCTTTTTGGGGCTGACCCCTAAAAGTCTCTCTCTCAGATACACTGGCCTCTCAGAGCCAGAGACGAGAGGCACGGACGTAGGTCATGTGCCTTCCTGGTTCATGGATTGATGGTCAACCAATGAGCCACACTGGCTGGGCCTGGCATGAAGATGTAAACATGTTCTCCAGTGATTCTAATGTGCAGCCAAAGTAGGGAACCACTGAGCTCACAGGATTTCCCTTTCCCTTTCCTCTTAGAGCTGGGACAGAGCGGCCGCGGCCTGTGGGACGGAGAGGGGGGGAGGTGGGACCTGTGTCTCCCACCTGCCAGGAGCCCTGAGCACCTGCCAACCATCTTGCTCCTCCAGCCGCCCTGCGGCTGCGTAGCTGGGCATCTGCCTGAGAAGCACTGGCCTGGGGCCCAGGCAGCCGCCAAGGGGCCGTCCATGGGGATCTGTTTTCCCAATCAAAAATGGACACGTGCTGAGGGACGATGGAAAATAGGACAGTGCCTTTGAAATGGTGACTCCCCTGGAATCTTGGCTATAAGGTTTCAGTAAGGCCTGCCCTCGCCTACCTGCAATCCTGGTAACACTCCCCTGGGTCAGAGCTGGCTGTGCCCTGCACTAGCCACAGCCAGGAACGGCCAGGGGCTGTACTAAATGGTTTAGGGGGCTCATACCCATTCATTCTCACAGTCACTTCAAGCTGAGTGCTCTTGGCCCCATTGTGCAGATCGGATAACTGAGACTTGGGGATTAAGTCTCTATTTCAGGGTCATAAAGCTTAGTAAACAGACATGCCCCATGATCTTTCTTTTAAAAAATATATATTTTATTGGTTTTTACAGAGAGAAAGGGAGAGGGATAGAGAGCTAGAAACATCTATGTAAGAGAGACATCGGCCAGCTGCCTCCTGCACACCCCCCACCGGGGATGTGCCTGCAACCAAGGTACATGCCCTTGACCAGAATCAAACCCGAGACCTTCCAGTCCGCAGGCCAATGCTCTATCCACTGAGCCAAACTGGTTCTGGCGTGTGATCTTTCTATTACCCTCGTATAAGCAGCCAAAGGAAGAACACTTGGGCAGAAAAGGCAAATGCAAGATCTTAATCGCAGCAGCAGCCCTTGCCTTGTTACAGGAACCTGACTTGTTTTCCTCGGGAAACGCTCGAAGCTTGTTCCTTTTTCAGCTGCCACCTCTGCACACTTCTGGGCTGCGTCTGTGTGCTTCCTGGCTCGCTGGCTCCCCTTGCCCACCACTAAGCTGAGCAAGGGAACTCCTGACCCATACCTGTTTGCACAGACCCGCTGCTACGCATGCACCACACTGATGCCAGCGACCTGCCTCCCGTCCCCCGCCCCCCGCCCCACTTCACCCCCATCGCCAGCGCGCCTGTGCCTTCCCTGTGGCAGCTCTCCTTCATCATCGAATTGGTGGAGTGGGTGGAGCATCCCCATTTCAGAGGGGAGTGAACAGAAGCAGAGAAAGGTGATCCTCATAGTGTCAATGGCATTGGGGTTCGGGGTTCCCCAAGATAGAAACTGAGAGGAAACCCCAGGGAAATTTCCAGACAGATTTCATTAAGCTTACGCTTGAACACAAGGGAAGCAGTCCCGAGCTGGCTTCAGGGCTGGCTCTGGCCGCTTTTTTTTTTTTTTTTTTTTTCTTTATTGATTAAAGTATCACATATTTGTCCTTAACCCCCCAATCATGCCCCCACCTCCCTATTGTCCACCACTGGTTAGGCTCATATGTATGCACATAAGTCCTTTGGTTGATCTCTTCCTTTTATGTTTGGCCACTTTTAAAAGCTGGGGACAAGGCAGACTTGTGCACAAACAAAGATGGGCTTGCCGGAAAAGGTGGCTGGTGGAGGGTTCAGGAGGTGGAATTTAACTTGTCAGGGTGGGGTTACTTCCTCCTTCTTTGCGTTGCTTGGCAATTATCTCCGGCCTGTGCGGTGGGGGCGAATGGAAGGTTGCATAGCGGACAAACCATGGTCAGCTGGGCCTGTTCCATGTGTGGTTTCGACATCTTCTGGCCACCTGGCCTTCACTTGTCTTCCTGGCCGTCCATCCGTCCGACCGGTATTTTTTCATTCCTGGGCCCAAGTCCTTATCCTGCCTCATTTCCCCCGGTGGCTTTATCCTCCTAAGGGATTAGAGTCAGAGGTCGCCTGCCACTGCTTCCTGCTGAGCGAGGGAGGGATAAAACTCTCCCTGTCTGGCCTGAAAAGCAGCGAGGGCTCCAGTCTTCCTGGTCTGGGTGGGCGGGAAGCCTGGCATGACCATCGGCTTCGTTAACCTGGACCTGCGCCATCTGGAAGAGACAGACTCCAGGAAGGTTAGAGAGACAAGGCCCGGATACCAGTAGGAGCAGGAGGACCATCAGGGCTCCGGAGGGGAAAGCCAGGTAAGTGAAGGCAGGTAACCATGAACGGATTCCGAGGTTTGATGTGGGTGGTACTTTTTAGCAAGATTTTGCATTTATTTTCCGTTTTGAGTGGTTGCTTGCTTAAGGCTCAATCAAATGAACCTTCAAAATACCGAGAACTTTATATTGGTAGGTCCTCGTGAACACCATGTGTTTCAGCTTTGGAGACCTCTTACCACTAGCTACAGCCGCGTGGTGTTCTGACTGAGTGCTGGTGTTCAGGGTATACTTCTTTAAAAAAATTTTTTGCATTGACTTCAGAGGGGAACGGTGGGGACAGAGAGCTAGACGTAGTAATGATGAGAGAGAATCATTGATTGGCTGCCTCCGGCATGCCCCCAACTAGGGATCCAGACCCCAACCCAAGCACGTGGTCCCGACTGGGAATGGAACCGTGACTTCCTGGTTTATAGGTTGATGTTCAACCACTGAGCCACGCTGGCCGGGCCAGGGTGTACTCCTTTTAACCAGGTAGCCTGTTGTGGTGATTTTTCTGAAGTTTACAGGGTGCCGTCTAGCTATAGTCTGCAATTGCAAGGCTCAGAAAAAAATAGTATTAGTTTTCAGTGATCCCCCGGCACAGGCTGGGAGAAACATGTGTGGAGAGTCCTGGGCAGATTTGGAGGAAACGAGAAGAATTCAGGGTCTAGCCCAGTTTGTAAGTGGCACACAAACCAAACCAAACGACAGTGAACAGCACTAGAACCTGATATCTACAAAGATCTATTATAGTTTCTATTAAAATGCATTTTTCTCTCAACAGTCATCCCCATTTTATCAAAGATAGCTAAGTGAAGACCAATTCACTGATAAGCAGAGTTTTAATAAATTGACCTGGTGTTTTCATAAGTGCAGTAAGAGGAGCATTTGAGCCCGGCCGGCGTGGCTCAGGGGTTGAGTGTCAACCGATGAACCAGGAGGTCACGGTTCGATTCCCAGTCGGGGCACATGTGCGGGTTGCGGGCTCGATACTGTGTGGGGCATGCACGAGGCAGCCGACCCATGATTCTCATCATGGATGTTTCTATCGCTCTCTCCCTCTCCCTTCCTCTCTGAAATCAATAAAAATGTATTTTTAAAAATATATTTTATTGATTTTTTTTACAGAGAGGAAGGGAGAGAGATACAGAGTAGAGAGTTAGAAACATTGATGGGAGTCATTGATCAGCTGCCTCTTGCATGCCCCCTACTGGGGATGTGCCCGCAACCAAGGTACATGCCCTTGACCGGAATCGAACCCGGGACCTTTCAGTCCACAGGCCGATGCTCTATCCACTGAGCCAAACCAGTTAGGGCTATGTGTGTCTCTTGTAAATGTGACATTCCAGTCAAAGCCTCATCAAAAGCTTCCAATTGTGCCCCATTATAAAGAAAACAGATTTGTATAGGACTTATGCCAACAACCATATTTCCATGAAAATGATGCTACTCACTTAGAATTTCCAAACTTCTATAGGATTAGATAGAAAAATATAAACATTTCACTATTGTCTATAGAGATATAATTTACCAAACTCTTGTTAGTCATAGGAAGTTTAAGAGAAAACAAGCTTTCTTATACCCAGAAAACAAAAAGGTTAAAAATCAATATTTCCAGCAAAAAAGTTATAAAAATTACCACCATTCTCAGTTGACTCAGTTCCATATAATTAATCCTTATTTATTTGGTCACCTGCCAGTGTTCCTTAGCGTTCTATAAACCCTCACCCAGTTTAAAGATCTGACTCCAAAATTCTCAGAAACCTGTGTTTTAAAATAAGCCAGAGGCCTCTCCCTGTATCTTTCTGGAGATGAAACATATTTGCAAAAGCATCAGACTCCACAGTGAGGGTCTTGGAAGGACAAACATGTGAATGAGGTGGTAACAGAACCCGGGGAGGTGTGGGTTGAACTCTGACCCTTTGCCATACTATGCCTCTCGGCACTGACAGGCAGCCCCACAGCTCCCATGGCCCGCTGTCTCCATGTCCCATGAAGGAGTGTGTGAGGTCCCCAGGCCCCTGGGAACTGCTCCCGGAACCACAGGGAGAGCGCTCAGGGTCAGAAAGCTCTCACACAGGAGTTTGCTGTGGTCACCAAGAAATGTAGTTCCTAAAAGTCACACCACCCCAAACAAATAACAGAAACGGCATATTTCACGTACACACCTTCCTACCTGCGTTCACACCCCACCCCCAAACAATCAATACTTCCAGGGGTCATTTGCCAGCTCTAGTTCAAATTTAAAACCAGTTTCAAGTTGAAAACAAACATCTACAGCCTGGCTGAGACACAGACTGAACAAAGAACAG